AGTAAGGGGGGGGGGGTGCGGGTACTCCTGAGCAAATCATGAGAATAGAAACTTATATGTTTCAAATATGATATGCAATTTTAAAACCTAAAAGTAAACAGATATTTTCTAGTAAAGAATATCCATATAAGTTTAACCCTGACTTTTTAAAATATCAAATGCATAACAACAAACTACAAATCGGAATCTTAGAAGATGGGATCAAACCGAATTAATCGGAATCCAAAGTTCGAGGTAAAAATTCCAACAGTCCAAGATCAACTAACTAAATTTTTGGAAAAAAAATGCATCCTAATTTCCAAAATGAATGAACATTTCGAGTCTTGTGAAGGCTCCTCGTCATGCTAATCCATCTGCCATAAATCAATGACTTAATGATTTCAAAATCTGTACAAACCGGAGGAAGCGTATAATCACCTTCGATATCTTCCGCCGCACTTTTACTCTTGCATTCCTCTTTATGATGTACATAGCGTTGAAGGGTCGCTGTTCCTAAAAAGCTCTAGTTAACAATGCTGTAGTAAGCACGGGATTTTCGATACTCACCAGCAATTAGAGAACGGCTGAGCTGTGCACCGGACCGAGCGCATACCACCCTTGGAGCAGCAAGAAGCTGAAATGCAACGGTATCATTAGAAAAAAAAAACAAATTAGCAAGAACAATCAGGATGCTAAGTAATAGATATGATAAAATTTCACGTCTAATAATCAAAGTTCTTTTGCAAATCATGTAATGAGCACTACAAATTAGCTGTGAGGCAGTAACGACGCCACAAAGGCACAAGCGGGGACGATCACTGATCAACAATTGCAAGGCTCAGATACACGTTCGCCACCTGATCTTAGAACATGGCCCTAAAGAGACAAGATCTGAGAAGCATATATAAAGCATATATATGTTATCATCAAGACCGGTAACCCTTTCGTAGTGATATAGACTGAAACTGATTTGCGCATGTCAAAGGCAGCAAGAACGCAAGCTTACAGGATCGTTAATAAGCCTGTCCCTACATAAAAGCCTCAGCACTGCTACCAGCGAATCAAAACACGTTTGATAAAAAATATTACTAAGCGAAGTTACACCCAACAGAACCGTTTTACAGCGTATTACGCTGTCCGGCTAGCTTTAAAAAGCTGTAGGGGGAGCATGAAAACAAGCCATGGTTCAATGAAGAACAAAAGGAAAAGAAAAAGTTCACGGTTGAGCCTGTTTGAATAATGTAGCAACAGACCATGATGAACCACGTCAGGAAATTTGAAAATGTTGCAGTCGTTTACCAACTTTGTGCTGATGGGTTCAACTCCTGCAATGTGACTCACGGCTTTCACAAACGGGAAAACGAAGCTTGTTATCATCGGTGTATCGAAGCCAGTGGGCTGCTCTATGCCTATGCGCAACAAGAATCTGCATGAATCATGAACACGAAAAACTGATCACTTGGTCTCCTATGAAAACTATAGTTTTGTCACACTGATACGATATCTTTATTCCAGTTGCATAATTAAGATGTCATGTGTTGTCGGTCATGTCATTTTCAATCATGCACTCATGTCATGTCATTTTCAATCATGCTTTTATAACTGTCCCCACCAATAAACCGTAGATCTCTTGCTAGAAGACTGGAAAGGTTTTGACCATACAACTGATCCATCGAAGGTGGTTAGCGCTAGAGTGCACTTATAGAATAATCGGACACGAATACAGTCTGAAGCACTTACACAGAGTCTGCTATAACAAGTGTCTTTCTACCCAAATGATGGTAGGTTTTTATAGCCTTGGCTGAACTGCCTTATCAGTCATTTACTTAAACAAAGCGCAACAGAACAAGGAAACGAATATCCAAAATAAATATAAACTGTTAAAACAACTCCGCCGTTGCCGGTCATAAGCCCAGATAAGAAAGGAGAAGCGTTGAAGACCATGACAAAGTTTCTGTAAAACTCAGCCACCTGCCCTATGCGCAATTGCGGTTATCGAACATTATACCGGCTCGGTCATCCTCGGACTACCAACGGCAGCCAGTATTGTTGGACGATTCAGGTAGGCTGTGAAAATCCGTGATAAAAACCTGCTTTTCGCCCTGTAGCAACCGGTGGCGTAGAAACACAACAATGGCTAACGAAAACCGACGGAACGACGACGAAGATACCAGTCTGCAGCGGAGTCGCTACCCGTTCTGAGGCAGACAGCGCGATGCCATTACAGCACGTCAGAAAAGGCTCCACGAAAATGACACCACCAGTGGGAG